CAAATAGAGACAACTATTTCTCTTGGTTTGGTTTGTCAATGACGCAACTATAAAGGCCATTTTAGCCTATTGCACCTATGGACATTCTGGCCTCAGTTCCAGTACACCGTGGTCGTAGCCAGCTTCCAGGAACTCCTGACTCTTCTGTTAATGATAAGCCTTGTTGTAGCGTTGCTGCCAGATTTTCATCTAATCTGGATCAGCAAACCTGTTCTCTTCTGTGTTTGATAGTGTTGGGAAACTTATAAAACAGATTCAAATATACCGTACAAAAAACAGCTTTTGAGGAAGTCAATATAAGGACTCAACAGCACCACCTGGGGCCCTGTATGCAATTTGCATTTTTCTGACTAACTATATTGAGAACAAGTAAATAAAGAAACCTCAAAATATTTTTGTATATCTGTCATATGGTCTAAGGTTGACCTATTGACCTCTAATGTAAATTTGGGTTTCAGTCTAGAGCTCTTTTTGTGTCCTTGGTCCATACACCCTAATCACCAATTCAGTAGATTGAAATGGCTTCATGAAAAGACCATGGTGTTTACAGTGCACTGTGTGTGAAGGGTCTTCAATATTTCAGACCAATTAAAAATGCCATAATGAGTGTGAATTTTCACGGCTTCATGCAAATATTCCGTTAAAGACCTCTGGCATGTACAGTATGAAACAAACTCTTTCTCCAGTAGCGTTTCCAGTTCTAATTAAAATCTCTAATTCGACCATGCATATTTGTCTATCTGTATCACGCAGAAAACCAGAACAGGGTAAGAGGGTTTTTTTTTTTTTTTAATGTACCAGAGGGTTCCATGGTGTAGCGGTTAGCATGGCTCGGAAGCAGAGAGTCCTGGGTTAGATTCCCAGGGGAACCACATGCTTGGCGCTTGCTAGCAGCGTATCTGCTGCTAACACAACAATTTCCCAAATATGAGATCAATATAGTATACAATTATTTATTTATCAAAATCACCGTTGTTATTAAATACAATGTTTCATTTTTTTAACTGAGAAAATATATGACATTGTTACCGTTTTATGTAAATTGTACGTACTTCCGTTCTCCATTTTCATTTTTGCCTTTAGAAGCGCTCACTATTTTCACAGTGTGTATAAAAATGTGTGTGTGTGTATGGGTACATGCACCCACGTTCAGGCTGAC